CAGAGGTGACCCACCAAGACAGAACCCCACACCTACCAGACATCTCCCAGCTTGGGTGGGAAGTGCCAGGTGGCTCCCAAGAGACTCTCGCAGCCGGCTCCAGGACCAGCCAGAGGGAATTAACTTACAGCTGGGGGCAGGGGGCGGTTTCTAGAGCAAGACAGATGTCACAGGGCAGGACTAAGTGTCATAGAGCAAGACTGGGTGTCCTGGGGTAGGACCAAGTGATCTAGGGCAGGACTTGGTGACCTCGGGCAGGACCGGGTGATCCAGGGCAGGACCAGGTAACCTACGACAGCACTGGGTGACCTAGGACAGGACCGGCTGGAGCAAGCAAGATGCTTTCAAGTAGGTAAATGGATAAATAAATGGTCGTACCTCCAGACAGTGGAATATTATTCAGCACTAAAAAGAAATGACCTATGGAGTCATGAAAATAGAGGTACATGGAGGAAGCGTAAGTGCACATTACTAGGTGAAAGAAGCCGGTCTGAAGAGGCTGTATAATTCTAACTCCAGGGCATCTGGAAACGGCTGTCTGTCTGGAGACAGTAGGAAGATACGTGGTCGGATGATAAGGGGGAGGGCTGAGCAGGGGGAGCACAGATGGCTTTTAGGCCAGTGAAACTACTCTGTATGATCATAAAATGATGCGCACATGACATTGTACATTTATGCACACCCATGCAACGTACAAAAAGAGTTAACTTTAATGTAAACTATGGACATTAGTTAATTATAATGTATCAATACTGACTCATCAATTGTAACTAATATACGATATCAATGCAAGATGTTAATATAGGGAAATCTTTGGGGAGGTGGCGAGTGAGGGGGTATATGCAAACTGTCAAGACTTTCTTTGCTCAACCTTGCTGTAAATCTAACACTTCTCTAAAAAATAAAATCTATGAATTAAAAACCTTACTTGCCTTTATGCTTAACCACCTCCACAAAGTACTGTCTCTACATCTCAGACTTACTCTGAGCACTAAACCCACAGTGTAACCCGTGTGACTGCACAGTGATGCCATCGGAGTCCCCAGCTTCATAGGGTCTCTAGGGCACTGTTTGGAAGGGACGTGACACTGAAAACAGAAGCGGACATATGCGCAGGTCCTGAGGGAGCTGGGACATCGAACCCCTCCATTTCACCAACCTTTCTTTGCCCAGAGGAGCCCTCCTCCCCCTCCTGCTAGAGAGGCTAAACTGGTCTGAAGAACGTGTCTGAGCCACCCAGGTGGTTGCCCCGCATGGCCCTGCCAAGCCTCCCCAGACACACCGTCACCACCTCTCACTGCATCTGGACTTGCACCTGGACTCAAGACCCAGCAGGCCCCAGGGGGGAGGCATAATCTTGCCAATTTACACCAACAGAAACCTGGGCAACACATGTGGGAATGGCTCTGAAGTATGTGAGATCGAGGTGGAATGAACAGAAATTGGACCAGGCTACATTTATTGACATGGGCCACTAAGCACAGATTTTCCAACCAATGTTTTCGATTGTGGGGCTGGAAATAGCTTTAACGGTTTCCACCAATGGCTGACATAAACAAGCATCTACAGGGGGTGTCCATATGAAATGACGTGGAGATGCCAGAATTTCCTGTTCTATGACTGAGGCAAGTGACTAAAGGCTTATGGAAATTGGGACACTGGAGTGGATTGTCATGTGAGACCTGCTAATGACCTCAGGAGGGTCCAGAGCACATGCCTTCCACCTAGAAGTGAGAGATGAATTCATAAGAGTGTCCCAGCATCCTTAAAGAGCTCTGTACTGATGCCCCCTCAGGTCAGAAACTGCAGTGAGAGAGGTCTGCTCGGCCTGGGGTCCCTAAGTACAAAGGGGACGACGGGATCTTGAGCTGCAGGAGGCTGAGCGGGCACATCAGAGCCAAGGACAGATGAATGTGGTCACAGAGCAGCAGGCAGAAGACCTCTGTTGTTGATTAGGTGAACACAGTGCTCCTACCACTGGAAGAGACAGATGGAAGGCCTCTGCGAGTTTTAGGGACCTGCATAAGCAGGAAAGTTCCAGATCTACAGAACTGAGGTCTGGCTCGAATCACCAAAACAGAGTCACAGCCCTGCAAACAATTTCCAGACTTGGCAAAACGCCACCCCCCAGAGCAGAGCCCCACGAATGAAGCCGCAGGGTCAGGCAGATTCCCTGAGGGGCACACTGGCCACAGGTGCATACAGTGACTCTTCCCCCAGCCCTCCCCAGGGGGGCCTGTGGCCCGGTACCGGGATGAGTGTGGACCAGGGAAAAGGAAATGACAAGAGTCCTAGGTGGCTACCAAACGCTGACTATGAATGACCCTAATAGCAGCAAACCCAAGCACTACCATGGCCCACCAGTCAGGCAGCGGCTCACGGAGGCCGGTGACCACACTCTCCCCATGGTTATTCCCCCAGCTCTGGACCCACCACGCTCACGGGCAGGACCCCCACACTGACTTCCCGACTGGCAGAGCCGGGGCCATTCTGGTGGGAAAGGCCTGACGATGGCCTCTAGTACAAAACCTTGTACCAAAGGCAATACCACATCCCTGGAGGGATGGTTAGTGGCAGATGGGTGCCGCCGTGAAGGGCCTGAAGGATGCAGGGGAGGTGACTGACACCACATCCCCTTCAACTCACCTACATGGCCTGTGCAGACAGGTGGATTGTGGGAGAGGACAGTGGATCATCATGAACCTAACCTGGTGCTGACTCCAAGTGGTGCTGCTGTTGCAAACGTGGTTCAGCTGACGGAGCAAGTCACAACGGCCATGATGCTCGTGACGCAGCTATTAGCATGGTGACCGCTTTCTCTACACCGGTACTAAAGACCATCAGAAGCTGTTCACTCTCACCTACCAGGGCTGGCAACGCACCTACACTGTGCTATACGATAGAAATACCAACCCCCAACCTGTCACACTGCACTGTGCTATACGATAGGTGTACCAAGCCCCAGCCCCTGTCACACTGCACTGTGCTATGTGATAGGTGTACCAACCCTTAGTCAAGAATGAACACGTGAGCACAGGCCACCAAGCTAGCACACAACTCACACATGTTGTTCTCCTCTGTCCGCTCACTCTGATCTGCAAGCAGTGGCCAGCAAGTGCTCTCGCGCCCCGGGCCCCAGTCCACTTCTGGGAACTGCGTATGTTCAGCTCCCTGAGGAGGGGCTGACTTTCGCAGGACACCTCATCACCAACGTCAAGGCCATGGGCATGGTCATGGGCTCCTGTCCGTCCTTGTCCTTGACCTCCCATCTCACACCCGTGGCCCGCCCCCCACCGCCTGCCCTGCAGATCCAGTCTCCAGACCAAAGACAGCAGCCTGGTGGGTACGTTCCCTCATCTCCCATGACTGCATCCGGCCAACTCCCTGTAACTGATCACACACACGGCCTCCCGGTGGCTCTGCTTTCCTGACTGGGCCTCGGACGCTGGTGTCCTGGGGAGAAAGGGTCCAATGACTTGGAGTGAATGAGTTCATGTAATTCTTTACTGCAGAACTTTCTGGTGTCTTCATGAACCAGCATACATCATGAACATTCAAAAGGAGGAAATGAGCAAGTAATGTTTCCCAAACCTCCTCGACCATAGACTCTTTTTCTTTATGGAGCCAGCAACAAGCTCTGGGGGACGTGATGTCGAAGGACGCACCGACTCGGGTCCACACTCCTCTCCTGGTCCCTCCTGCCAGGCCTGGGCCCCCAGCAGGGGTCCTGACCGTGAGACACGCGAATTTCACACTCCAGGAGCTTCACCCCAGGAGCTTCACCCTCACCCTCACCCGACACCAAGGCTTTGTGTTTGCAAGTGGGCCTCCCGCACAGGCTCTGAGGGCACAGGAAACAGCGCTTTACCGTCGTAGTAGGAGGAGGTCTTACAAACACTAAGCACGCCCATGCAACTTACCCCTCCGTTTTAAAAGTTATATATAAGTTACGTATGTGATAACTGTGTATATAATATCTGAATTATCGTAATTTTTAAATTTTCAAGTTAGCCAACATACACGGCAGTCTCGGCTTCAGGAGTAGAATGCAGTGATTCATCCCTTACACACAACACCCAGTGCTCATCCCAACACGTGGCCTCCTCAGTGCCCGTCACCCATTTAGCTCATCCCCCACCCACGTCCCCTCCAGCAGTTTGTTCTCTGTACTTAAGAGTCTCTTACGGTTTGCTTCCCCCTCTGTTTGTATCTTATTTTTTCTTCCCTTCCCCTATGATCATCTGTTAAGTTTCTCGAATTCCACATACGAGTGAAATCATGTGATGTCCATCTTTCTCTGCCTGACTTATTTCACTTAGCATACTTTTAAAACAATCTTCCAGAGCGCCTGGGTGGCTCAGTCAGTTAAGCATCCGACTTCGGCTCAGGTCATGATCTCACGGTTCGTGGGTTCGAGCCCTGCGTCGGGCTCTGTGCTGACAGCTCAGAGCCTGGAGCTGCTTCAGATTCTGTGTCTCCCTCTCTCTCTCTGACCCTCCCCTGCTCATGCTGTGTGTGTGTCTCTCTCTCAGAAATAATAAAACATTTTTAAAAATTTACAACAATCTTCTTAGTACCCTTGCAAAGTAAACAGGTAACAGGAAGCTCCTGTATCACAAAAACTTGCATAATGACAGAGCAAACTGACTTTCTGGAGGCTGGGCAGTGGCAGCCTTTCACGCGGCCGAGCAGGGCTGGTGCCGGGCCCGGCCTCCCTGCTCACGGGACCTGCAGGCGTGTCTCCTGTTCCCTGAAGCGCTGTCGGAACTGCCGTGGGCATCCCGGAGCCACCGCTAGCCCACGAAGGGAACTCCCACCAGAAGCTTCCATGAACAAGGCTGCCTGCTCCTGGCCCTCTTCTCTATCTCAGCACTGGTCCCCCTGACCCAAGGGGCCCATGATCTTTAAGGAGAAGTAAAGCCCTTGCTGACTGCTCCATGCAACAGCATCTCAGGCCACCAGCCCAGGTCAGGGCGCCGTTTGGGCCCACGCCGGCCTACCTGCTCGGGAGAGCCTCTGCAAGGTGGCTGCCAGGTGCTGCAGAACCGCCGGGGACACTTCATAGCGGTGTGCGTCTATCACTGGAACCTTCTGGCACCTTCCGAACACTCCATCTGTGAGAAAAGGGAAGCAGAGAAGAGAAAGTGATATCTCGTTTTCAAAGAGAAGAAAGGCATTACCCACATCCTTGCAATATATCCTAATTATGCACTGTGGTGAGGCTTTGGAACATGGCTTTAGAAAGTCATCAAAACACTATCAGAATTCAGAAGCACCTGGAAAGTAACGGTTTATTTAAATAGAAGAGCATCCTGAAAAACACAATTGCGAAGGTATAGACAAAAGGACGTGCATCCAGAGTAGTTGGCATTTTCTAGTCTACTTTCCCATCCCTGTCTCCCTCGCCATCCCCGCCACTCACTGATTGTAATTCCCTGCCCCTGGCTTTCACCTTTCTGACCTGAAGCTTTGCTTCTGACAGTCCCCTGACAAAAAAGTCAGTAACATCCAGGGCCAGTTTTCCAGATGAGAAACGGAACACCCAAGAAATATAAAGATTAAATTGCAGAAGGCCCGAGGATCGTGGAAGTGCCTACCACGCGGGCACCGTGTGCGAGGGGCTGGCGATCAGGGGCAGGTGCGGGAGTGGCAGCGAGGCTGTGCCAGGTGCTCCGGGAACAAGAGCGACTAACGGGGCCCAATGTATCTAGCTCCGCTCCATCTGTCTAAAATGATACACTCTGCTCATCAACCTTGTTTCAAACCACACCCTCTAATTAATTTAGGCCCCAGTGAGTCTTTATTCAGCAAATCGTTCACTTTGAAATAAGCTTCCTGTAGGGATTCAAACATCCAAATTACTGTCCTTCGTACACACAAAAGACGAATTCAAGGGTCCGGCGGCCACCTGCAGCCTCAGGCCCGGATGGAAGGGGAGACACTTCTCTTATTGTTCGCAACAGTCTCACTGCACACAGTGCAGCCGAAGAAAGGCCTTCAAACGCAACAAGTTTAATCAGCAGAGACACGTTTTGCCCAGTGCCAGGCTGACTCATGATTACGGGTCTGACATTTCATATGTGCTTGCGATGGACGCGCTGTGTGATTAGCAGAAAATCATCCTAAGTATGGAAAGCGGATCCTGGACTTCTATGGGACTTTGCACAGCAGGGGACACAGCCACACAGCTGCTCAATCCGGGCAGACCACGGCCGTGCAGAGAAGTCAGGCCCTTCCGCCAGCCACCTCCCCAGCACGGGGTTCTGCCGGGCACTTCTGCTGGTCCCCTCTTTGGGTCACCTCCGCCACACGGGGCTCTGCCAGGCACCTCTGGGTCACCTCCGCCACACAGGGCTCTGCTGGTCACCTCCACCCTATGGCACTGCCCCTGTCTGAGTGACTCACTTAAACTAACACAACGGCCATATCCGGCCAGAGTGGTTCCCAGTGACAGTTCTCTTGGAGAGAGGGTCTCGTCCCCCCCTCATTACCCAGTGAGACAGGCCACCTGCTCCACGTGAACACAGACAGTAAGTGTCCCTGTTCTTTGGATTCTGCTTTGTGCGAAGAACCCTGTGCCTGTGGACGGTGTGCTCATGCGGAAGGAAGAGGGAGGGGAGGGAGGGGGCTAAGAGAAAAATGAAGAACTCTCTATAATGTACCTGAAACTTTCATTTTACTTTACAACGGAATATCTCAAAAATAAAATCATAACGTGTAGGGACCAGAAGGAGCATTAAGACGGTCTGACCCCACACTTCACAGATGAGCATGTGGCCAAGGCCAGGGGAGGAAGAAACTCCGGTTCCTGACTCCCCGCTAAGGCCCTCGCCAGGGAGAAACGGCCGAAGACGAAGACGGCTCCTACCTTCCTGGGACCATCACAAGTAAGCTAATCCCTCCTGAGCTGTAACGGCCTCACCCTGAAGGCTGGCTGTGCTGCACAAATATTCTTGGGAAGATATTTATGGGATATTCCTGAAATCTCTCTCTTAAATTAAATCACATATATGTAACATAATACATGGTGTTTTTGTGCTTTTAAAATTAGGTTTAGTTTTAGCTAATAACTTGGTTTTAATGATTTAAATGTTGAAACTAAACTAACCATTGATTCTCTCCGCCCCTAGACTACCACCTTGCTGATGAGGCAGGACAGACCTTTCCCCAGTACGTTTTTTTAAACTTTATGTTTTAAATAAACTTTATTTTTTAAAGCAGCTTTAGGTTCACAGCCAACTAGAAGGGAAGGCACAGAGAGCCCCCGCACACCCCTGCCCTCACATACACACACATTCCACCCAACGCCACAGCCCCCGGCCCGAGCGGCACCTCTGCCACAAGTGAGCCTGCATCGACGCCTCATTACCACCCAAAGCCTGTAGTTTACATCAGCTCATTCTTGGTGCTGTACATCTACAGGCTTGGACCAAAGCACAGCGGCATGTGCTCACCACTCTAGTGACACACAGGGTAGTGCTGTCGCCCTAAAAATCCTCTGTGCTCCCCTGTTCATCCCCCAGCCCTCTCACTCCTGGCAACCACTGACCATCTTACTGTCTCCAAAGTTGTGTCTTTTCCAGAATGGCGTATACAGTTGACCCCTGAACCACATTGGTTTGAACAGATCTATTTTTAGAAATACAGTGCAGTACTGTGCAGACACACATGTTGGTGTGCGTACATACATGCATCCACGTGTGTGTAGTGTGTGTACACATGCACACCGCATGTGTGTGTTTGCATGTGTGTGCATGCATGTGTGCCTACAAGTGTCACGTGCATATGCCTCTGCGTGTGTGCTGTGTGCGTGTGAGTGTGCTGCACGTGTGCACATACATACACACATAGGTGTGCATACACACATAGGTGTGCTGTGTGCGTGTGAGTGCGCTGCACGTGTGCACATACATACACACATAGGTGTGCTGTGTGCGTGAGTGTGCTGCACGTGTGCACGTGCATACACACGTAGGTGTGCTGTGTGCGTGTGAGTGTGCTGCACGTGTGCACATACAGACACACATAGGTGTGCTGTGTGCGTGTGAGTGTGCTGCACGTGTGCACATACAGACACACATAGGTGTGCTGTGTGAGTGTGCTGCACGTGTGCACATACAGACACACAGGTGTGCTGTGTGCGTGTGAGTGTGCTGCACGTGTGCACATACATACACACATAGGTGTGCTGTGTGCATGTGTTGCACATGTGCACAAACATATACACGTAGGCGCCTCCGCCACTTGTACGCCACTCCAGCATCGTAAGTTCATCTAGGAAACAGATCTGCTAACACCTCCCGACCAGAGACCCGATTTCCTTATTTATCTCTCAATAAACGACGTCACTACCGTTTTCTCTGTTTCCTCTGGACAACTGTGTGAACACTCTCATCCACACCTTCTCCTAATTTCCAGCCCTGCATCTGCTGTGTCTCTGAGGCGTCCTCCTCCCTCTAAGGAGGGGACTCCATCCCTGCCCCCACTGCTTGGCCTCGGCCCCCAACCTCAAGAAAGGCACAGCCCTGCTCTGATGTCCTACCTGCCAGATGGGTGGGACGGCTGTGGGACACGTGTCTGGGGCAGAAGGGAACACGCAACTACTCACTTACAATCGTGGTACAGGCCACACAGGGACGTGCTACAGGGCGGCACAAAGAAAGGCACTGACCTCATCCAACACACAAAGACCCAGGAGAATGGCAGCCCGTTGGGCTCCAACATTCACAGAATGGGGGTGCCCACCTGGGGCCAGAAAGGACATCTAGGCAGGGGAGCAGGCTCTGTGGGGGACAGGAGGCATCCGGACGCCAGAGCTCTGGGACCCGGCACCAAGCTCCCAGATGTGGAGCAAGTCAGGCAGCGTGTGCAGAGCCTGAGGGCACAGGGGAGGAGAGGCTCAGCCTTCCGCTAGAAGCTGCTGGGACCTTCCAGGCAGGTTTTGCATCCTGCCAGGAGCCGAGGGGTGAAGCTGAAGCTGCCTGTCCAGGGGAGGGAGGCTCGGCGAGGATGGCCACCCAGAAGTAAGGGAGCGGGAGATATCCACAGCCCTTTCAGAGGTGAAGCCCAAAACGCCAATGCCACCCAGCTGCAGGACAGCCACTTCCACGAGTCCACAGCACAGAAAGCCTCCGGGGTTCCAGGAAATATTCCGAGGGATGGTCCACAGGACATGTGTTTTTACAAGGCGGTAACAAAGCTGTCTTGCTGCCAGCTGAGAGAGGTGACCCGATGGCCCCCAATGGAGTGACGCTGCATCTTTCCATGGAGAGGCCACCTCCCAGACCTCTGTGGGCAGTGACCACAGCAACCACAGACTCATGGACTGTGCTTAAAATCCCTGAACTCCTGACCTCAGTGGGATTCTAAGGCTGTGTCCCCAAGTCCCAAATGTCTGCAATGGCAACCCCCCTCTTCATCTTGCGGAGCAGAAGACTGGGCTCCACTGCTCCTACGAACTGGACAGTACACGTTTTTAAACCGGACAGAAAGGGAGGTCTACCACCCTGGGAAACAGCTGCCACCCCAGCCGAGTGTCACTGACTGTCACTGACCAAGTGTCACTGACTGGACAGCCTTCTACACCTGGGCAGCAGGTTTCTCCCATTAGAAGGAGAGACCTTGAGGATTTCTTTGCTGTTTGTTTGGAAGAATGTGAAAAAAAACAGCTTGTTCATAATGTCTGTACATTTATTTTAACCAATGTTCCTTGGAGCATTATTCCCACAGGCAACAGTCATTTTCACTCATCAACATCACTGTCCCCTAAACGCTGACGCCGGCCTGTGGCCATGCCCTCCTCCTGGGCCGGCGTTCCGGAATTCACTTCTCCGTCGGTCTGTGGGGCTGTGCACGTCTCCGGCTGCATAGCACACATGTGTGCGTGCCCGCATGCACACACATCCCCACGCCCCTCTGGCACGGACATTCTCCTGTCGCCTCCAGGCACCACTGGCTCCTGAAAGGCAGGTGCCACAGCTATGCTCCTTAGAGCTCCCACATGCGACACTCTACTCCGCAGCCGCTGTGGGCTCAATAAACACTTGTGACTGATTCACTGGTGCTTTTCCATTTGCCCGAAAAAAAGCTGAGGGGCACCTGGGTGGTTAAGGGT